TACCCAGAAAGAATACAGACAGGAATTCAAACTGTTTGTGCAGTTGCATTTTTTTTTGTCATTGCTCTTGTGACTAACAAATTTTCTCTTCTTTCTGTGTACTTTTTCCACTTTTCCTTCCAAAGAATGTCCCTCCTGCAATCCTACTTCGTTTTTTGAGGGAGCACAGGTCTGAATGGGCAGACAACAACATTGACGCTTACTCAGCTGCAGCTGTTAAAGTTGGCCCATATAGCATACCGGGGTCTCGAGTTGGAGGGTTTGGGGGCCAGGTTATACTTCCTCTGGCTCACACCATTGAACATGAAGAGGTCAGCTGACCAATATCTGCTGTTACTATTAATATTTTGTTTTACCATCACTGATCCCAGTTCTGGCTGGAGAAGCCTAATTGGTATCTGATTAGTACTTCTTTCTGATTATTAGTTCTTGGAGGTGATTAAGTTGGAGGGTGTTGGTCATTCTCCTGAAGACACGATTATTCCTAGAGATGTGTTTCTCCTGCAGGTAAGTCTTCTTTTGCCTTTCTATTGTTTTCCAAATGATACTTTTTTTCAGTTGATTATCCTGGAATGATAAAGGTTTTTATTGTAAAAAAAGTGAATTTTCTTTTGCTGTATAGACCCAGGGGTCCATAACAAAATCTTGTAGGAGTGTCATTTATGTGATATTTCTGTTTGAAAGCGAGACTGCTATGGTGGTATTGGGGATATGGGAATGGAAATGCCTTAAGGATTATATAGCTAATTATTGTTTCATTGGACATAAATTAAACAGTCCTATGATTGGTCAGTAGTTAATGGCAGGAGATTTAAATCTTTTCAATTGTTTCACATGCCACTTATGCTTTGTGTATTTCTCCTAGTTTTTAAAATCTGTTAATTGCCTAATATTATCTTTTAATTTTCATCTGATCTGCTTTTGTAGCTCTGTAGTGGAATGGATGAGAATGCTGTTGGCAGCTGTGCTGAACTTATATTTGCTCCTATTGATGCTTCTTTTGCCGATGATGCACCACTTCTACCTTCTGGCTTTCGCATAATTCCTCTTGATTCTGGCAAGGTTATCTTCTACATCATTACCTAAAGTTTGTGTTCTGTTTGTTTCTTCTAATGCCCTTCTTGTACTGATGCAATGTAAAAATGAACCAGGAAACTTCCAGTCCAAATCGGACCCTGGATCTTGCTTCTGCCCTTGAGATTGGGCCTGCTGGAAACAAAGCTTCAAATGATTATTCTGGAAATTCCAACTGTACAAGATCCGTGATGACCATTGCATTTGAGTTTGCATTTGAGAGCCATATGCAAGAGCATGTAGCATCCATGGCTCGGCAGTATGTTCGCAGCATTATTTCATCAGTTCAGAGGGTTGCATTGGCACTCTCTCCTTCTCATTTAAGTTCACATGCTGGTCTCCGAACCCCTCTTGGAACTCCCGAAGCGCAGACACTTGCTCGTTGGATATGCCAGAGTTATAGGTATGACATGTTTTCTTTCATGGTCAATCCTTGTGATTACTTAGGATTTGTGCTATACCAGGGTTTGATCAACTTCTTTACTATTAAATTGATTTTTGGTGCAAATTGATTATGCTATTATTAGTGTATGGTCAGTACAACCAATAAAATGGTTTCGGTTCTTTAGTTCTTGGATCACTTTACTTTCTTGACAGGTCTTATTGATATATAACTTGATTTATTGCTCAGATATGTTTGGTACATTTACTTTTTAATTCTTGCAGTCTTTTCTATAAAATGTTGGAAGAACTTAAAGGGGTTGGGCTGTTGGAATTTTGTTCACTGTATAACCAAGTTTTATGCAATGCATGTCACGGTCTCTTGCATTAACTGGCAACTGCAAAACCGCAGCTTTTCTTTGGAATCCATGATCAGGGAAGTTGTTATATATTTTTCAGGTGTTACTTGGGTGTGGAGCTGTTGAAATCAAGCAATGAAGGAAGTGAGACAATCCTCAAAACCCTGTGGCATCATTCAGATGCCATCATGTGCTGCTCGCTGAAGGTGTGGACAACTGGTTCACTTTTTTCCCTTAATAACTTTTTTGCCACATTATTCAGATTATGGATTTACGTTATGATGGAGTCAGTTCATATTAAAATAGAATAATTTCTCTATTGATTCATGAAAACTAATTTGAAGAGCGAGATGCCAGTATGTGCTTGCATGATTGTTACATTGCAATTTAAGATGCAATAAAGGAAAATCATAATGCATGTTTCCCGCCTTTCTTTAGTTAATCGCAGTGTTCATCGAGTAATTATTTTTACTGTCTTTAAATTGCATAATGTGACATCTAAATGTCAAAATTTCCTTCTACACCTCAAACAAAAAGTTTCCTTCTAAGCAGTGTATATTGTTCAGAAGATTTCTAGTCTAATTGGTAGCTATATAAGTTCTTTAATTTTAGAATGTTGGGTCAAGTTCTATCTGGCCTTGATCAAGTAATTTAATCTAATTTTTATGGCCTATATAGGCATTGCCAGTGTTCACGTTTGCAAACCAGGCGGGGCTTGATATGCTTGAGACAACCTTGGTTGCATTGCAAGACATAACTCTGGAGAAGATATTTGATGATCATGGGAGAAAGACTCTCTGTTCAGAGTTCCCACAGATAATGCAACAGGTTTGGCATTTATCCGAAAACATATTGAACCTTTTTTATTTTTTATTTTTTAAAAAAATTTAAATTTCTATGTCAAGCTAGAAAGAATTATTTAAAATAAGAAGTCAAGGTAGAAAGAAAATTCTGATCCACCTGGCATAAAAAACGGATTTGATTTTTTATTGTGGTTGGTTGATATATATTTCATATGCAGAGCCCTGTTTTGTGATTTATTATCTTTTCTGCTAGTGGAAACATGATCATAGTTGAATGACATGTATTTGATAGATTTGTATGCACCTCTTGATGCATGTGGTTTTTTTTTTTGTTTTCTGCTGTAGGGTTTTGCATATTTGCAAGGTGGGATCTGTTTGTCAAGCATGGGCAGACCAGTTTCATACGAGAAGGCAGTGGCTTGGAAGGTGTTAAATGAAGAGGAGAATGCTCATTGCGTATGCTTTATGTTTGTGAATTGGTCGTTTGTGTGACACTTTGTATCAGAAAGGAGGGAAATTCAAAATATTATGTTGTATTTTGTTGGCTTTGTTTGTATGTTTTGCATAAGTACAACTAGTAAGTTGTTGTTATAACAGAGTCTGCAGTCTGTTTCCTCCTATGTTCCAAGACTACTTTGTGTTGCTTATGAAATTTTACTCAAGGAGTATGGACGTTTGCAGTTAAGAGTGTTTCTGCCTGGACGATCTCATTGGATTTCCTTAGTCAATAGTATGCTAATATATATTTCATTAGGTTAAAAGAGAACATGGGTCGGTGTTTTTGAAGGTTTGTGTATTGTTGGTGATAGGAAATTTTGATTTTTGAAAAACATATGGATAGATATGTTTGAGAAATTTCATTGGAAATCTAGTTATAGCAATTGAAATGAGTAATATAGGTACAATATAGTAGTACCTATAGGTATCAGTAAGTAAAATGAGCAATTGAGAAATTTCTGGAGTAAAGTAGATAGATGATTACACTCTGTACTATTTGAAAGTTTGAAAATTTTTTATTTTTAAAAATGAATCACTTTAAAATATTATTAAATGTCGAACAAAACATAAATAAAAATTACTGTTACGCAGATAATTAAAATTACTATTGATACTTAAAAAAGTTATAANNCGGCTGCGCAAGCGATGTGACGGCAAGACGCGACGATGAGATGCGATGGCAAGGCGGCGTGCGAGCTTCTACGGTATAAGAGGTTCGATATCGTTGAAGGTGAGAAGAGGAGGAGCAGAGCAGAGCAGATGAGAAGGAAGGAATGCGTGATTTTAGGTTTTCTTTTTAAAGGGATAAAAAATGTAGTTTTAAAATTTTGAAATAAAAATGTTCAAAAAAAAAAAAAAGTCATTTTTCAGATGTTTTAGTTTGAACTTCTGTCTTTACATCTATAAAACTCTATATTTGCCTTTTTATTTATTTTAGATAAAAGTACTAAAATTTTATTATGTATTTAAAAATTAATAATGATTTAATTTAACAGTAATAATATTTTAATAATAAAGTAGTGATATTTTAATTTCAATAACTATAAATTAGTAAATTAATAATTTTTTTAGTACGTTGTTAGTTATTTATTTTTTGTAATATTTTTTTTATTTTTATTTTATTTAAACTGACTGATTATATAAATAAAAATTATATAAATTTAATTCAATTATTTTATAATACAGTTTGTTAATATTAGTATATTTCTAAAGAAAGTAATTCTATTTTTACATATTTAGTTGAAGCACTCTTTTATAATTGCTGTTAAAAGTAAAGAGTAGCTATAGACAAAATTTAAAAGTAAAAAAGTTATTTCAACCAAAAAAATACAGGGACTTAATTTGGATATTTTCGAATAGTAAATGCGTGTCTTAAGTATATAACCATTTACATATTATATAAAGAGTTATATTTGTAAAAGCTAAGGCACGTGGTTGTTACACACAAATAATGAGCATATGAAGAGAGGGTTTATAATCAATTCGGTAATATTATACGCAATTTATACATTGGCTATTTTAGTTATCACTGATTAAAGATTTGACATCTTTTATGAAAATAAAGACTGTACAATATTTTTTAGTAATTAAGGTAGAATCAATATCCACATATGTAAAATATATTTCTTACATTTTCAATTACTTAGGTATAAGTAATTATATATATATTGTTCTAAATTCCCACTAAGTTTATAAGAATGCATTTGTAACATTCGGACTCGAAATTTTAATTTGAGATAATCAAATTATATTAATAAATAATTTAAAATTTTTATTTTTTAATTTTTAATTAAATTTTTGAAGAAATATATGTTTTGAGTGTATTTAAAAATAATTTTCAAAAGTCATGGATAAACTGAAACTAAGAAAGAACTTATTTGAAAAAAAATTTAAAAAATTGGGGTAAAAATAAAAAAAAATAGAAAAGTGGCAACGTGGACCACCACATCAGCAGTGCACTCGATCACCGTGCGCCACGTGGCAAATACGCGAACATAAATCCACGCGGGAAGCCACACGGATGATTCGCGTGCCAATGGATCTGACGGCCTAGATCTACTCCCGTACGCACAGACGGTCCAGATCCATTTCTTCTTCATGTGCGATCGGAACAGCCCTGATTGCATCCGATCGTGTGGTCTATATTCATTTTCCAAATAAGCCAGATCTAAGGGCTGAAAATATCTAGTACGGCTACCATTCATTAATTCACATGACCAATCAATTTTTCATTTGCACATTAATTACCAATTTCACAAATCAACCGTAAATCACGCAAGACAAGTAATATATATATATCCAGGAAGCATAATTGAATCATTTAACCATTCTAATATATCATCATGTATTTAATGTTGTAAATTCAATAATCAGTTAAATAGAACAAATAAAGAACTAACCGGTTCCGTCTCTATTAGTAACTTGTAATTTTTTTCAAAATTTTTTATATTACACAAAATACCATATTATCGATTATTAAGCTTCAATTCTATAAAAGAGAACAAAGTGATGGATTCTTACCCGAATCGGTATCCGAAACACTGAACTTTCTACTGTACTAACTGGCGGTCCCCAGGTTTCTTGAAGTTTTATGTGGAGATTAAAACATGCTTCACATATCAAAAAACATCCAAAAAAATCCAAAATTAGTGTTAAAAATCTTTTTCGGCCAATTTTGAAATTCCAACACGACGACACTGCCATGCTCTGGCGATGGCACCGCCGCCGTAGGCGATAGTTTGCCTCGGCCTGACCGTTTTTGGCTAGTTTTGGTTAGTTTCAAACAGTTTTATACCTATCCCTGCAAGAAAACACGTTAGAGACCTCGGTTGGCTGAAAAAAGTCAAAAAACAAAAACCTACATGCGGTGGAATTTTCTGGTGCGGTGGCTCTGCTAGCTTACCTTCGCGATTGAATATTTTTCTTTGGTCAACCTGTAAAAACTAGAAAGGTGAACATAATAGTGGAAAAATCGCACGAAACGGAAAACGTGAAGGAGCTCATCCGAGGTGGTTGCGAGTTTTGCCTGCAGCAGCACCACAGGACTTTTGTAGCGCCCGGGAAATTAAAGAAGAAAAAAAAAAGGGGGGGGGGGGCACGTCAGCAAACCCAGTCAGCAGTCCCGGCCAACCGGGACCTGTCACGTGGCAGACCACGTCGATCCGGGACGGGCCACATTGGCGATCCGCGTATGCGCGATCGGACGACCCAGATCGAACGTGCGATCGGACGACCCAGATGCAATCACACGGACGGCCGAGATTCAATCAAAAACGGACGGCCCAGATTAAATCAAAATGGACGGCTGAGATCAAAAGGCAAAAGAGTATAAATAAGACCCCCACACCAAACCACAAACCCTAGCCGCCTGCCCTCGCCGGAGAAGACGAACCAGAAGCCGGCCGCCGCCACCCGCCGCCGCACCGGAGGGATTTCCGACCGCCGATCGAGGTAAATTTCATACCCCCGATTCATTTTTCCACGCTGATTTCCCCTGTGGCCAAATCGGAGCCAAAATCCTGGCCAAACGGCCAAAAAACACGGCCGAAGCCCAGCGGCACCGCCGCGCCCCTCCTCGATTTTTGCCTCCGATGAGGCCCTTCCCGGCCTCCGTTTAATACAATTTTTATATCACCGTGATCACCATTCTTTTCTATACAGGTTGATCGGAGCCGAATCACCAAAACACGAACTTCACCGGAGAGCCGCCGCACCCGAGAGCACCGCCGCCGGTAAGCTTTGGTTTTCCATAATTTTTTGGCCCCTCGAGGGCCCTAGAGTTGTTTAGTCGCAAGTATCGATGCAAGTGTGGCCGAATTCAGCCGAAAATGGCCAAACCAAGGCGAATCGCCGCCGCAAGCGGCGGCGCCGTCGTCGGAGTACGGCGGAGCCGCCGTGCCAAAAATGCGATATTGGCCAAAAGGGGCCCTGGGCCTAATTTGGGATTTTTTGGAACACGTGCAGGTACCAGTAGTGCGTTTCAGTTCCCCGGGAAAAATTCAGGAAAAATTAGGGACAGCCTGTAGGCGCACTGTGAAGCCGTGTTCGGACCCCGAAACGTGTAAGGACCCCTCACCCTATCTCCTATCACGGTATTAAAGTTCAATAAATGATAAAACGGTATTCCATGAATCAACGAATGTGTGAAATTGCTTAAGGTCGCTAATGGAGCCCGAATCTAGTATATTTGTCGGTTAACTATTATTTGGCCTGTTTTACAGTTTTAAATGCAGTATGAGGTTTGATGTTTTCATTTTATAGTTTTGTGTGCATATTGTACTGTTTTATTGATTATGGATTGAATGATTGGGATATCGATGCTGTGTGTTGTCTGTTTGGCATAAATTACTGTTTTACTTGTTTGTATGTGGATTGATGATGCTGACTGAGGGAAAAGAGAATGATAGATTATGTAAATGGGTAATTGTATAATGTGGTCAGTCTGACTAGATATCCTAGGAGATGGTGGACGGACCGGGTCCGTAGGGAACCCTACCTGGATTGTGGTCTCCCATACCGGACGGGGTATGGAGATCTTATGTGTTTTGGCGCCCATACCGGACGGGGTATGGGGACGGCCCGTTTCACCCTCATACCGGACGGGGTAATGGGGTTTATATTTTTGGCGCCTATACCGGACGGGGTATGGGGACGGCCCTGGAATATGATTTCAAGTGTTAAGGGTTAACGGGTAGCGGGACCCCTATGGATCCCCATGGATAATAGTGGGCTGGTAAAATAGGAAAATATATTGTGTAACGATTGAATTACGAAAAGCTTGATAAGTATTACGTTATACAGTTTATATATGATTTCATGATGATGATGATGTTATTGCTTTCGTATATTGTCTTATGAATTTCACCGAGGTAAGTGAATGGTAAAGGTTTTATTATTGATAAAAGGTTTTGTTGTAAATTATGCTCCATTGATCTTTTTGTGTTTTCTACCCACCTTTACCTCCGTGACGGTGAGATATCGTGATGTCTTTACTGGGCTAGTGTAGCTCATTCCTTATTTAATCATTTCAGATCAGGAAGACATTATTCCTGAGCCAGTTCCGCAGGAGGACGACGAAGGGGACGTCTAAAGACTCCATAGTCATATTTGTAGCTTTTACTTTCAAGTTTCTCCTTTAGGTAGTTTGATCTTTTATATTGTAAGCACGTTTTTGGTTTTAGTGTAAGG